AGGGAAGCATATTGGCGACATAACACTTTAGCGACGGATTAGCGATGGTATCTTTTAGCAATGGATTAACGAGGGATCTAATTAGTGATGGATTAGCGATAGAATCATTTAGCGACGACTTCGCGAGGAACCAAGAACTTTTAGTGACGATTTTTTGTCGCTAATTCGTCGCTAATTTTTAATAATTAAAAAAAAATTACATAATTTCGGTATTTATGATACAAAATATGCCCATAAAATAAGAAACAGAAATTGTACAACAAATTCAAACTAACAAATTCATACAATTTAAAATATCAAATCCATACAATCTAATGTTCAAATTCACACAATTTAAGTAACAATCTAACTGCCCGGAGGGGGAGGTGGGGGGAGGGGGAAACGTTCATTGACTGCCGCATAAACGCAGTAAAATGCTCCGATAACATGATCTGGTCGGCTAACTGGCAGCATGTCTAGCCTATTCGGCCTCCCTATCTCCCTTTCTCTTCTGTACCTACATCTTGGCCCGATGGCGTTCCTCCCACAACCACGCCTCCTCCTCTACCCTTGCTAACTTCTCTCTCAACTCCGCTACCTATAAATATTCAGTATTTGATAAAAATCAATAATTTATTCGCAATGAAAGTAATGAGAAAGTACAACAATATCACTGAAGTCACAATCAAGAATCTCATAGTCAATAATTTTTCCGTCATCTACAAAATCTTGGTTCTAGTTTTTAACGACTTTTTTAATAATAAGTTGACGTGCAACTTCGTGTTTTTTGTCATTCGAATATTTACAGATAATCTTGTGCTCTTCAAGTTTATTTCGAATTTTGTCAAAATCTTTTAACTTATCAGAACAGTCTTGAAGTTGAGCATTGAGAGCTTCTATTTGTATTTATGTACATCTTTTGGCTTCTAACGTGTTGTACATATCCTCATACATATGATCATAGGAAGGAGACGAGATGACACTACTAGAAAATAGAGTATCAGCGACGGAAAAAATTCGTTGCTAATCAGCGAGGGATAGGCCAAAAATCAATTACGTTGTTAATTAGTGAGGGACTTGCAAGGGAATGGATTTTTGGCTTATCCCTCACTAATCCTACGCTAATCAGTGAGGGATTTGCGATGGAGTTGGTTTTTGGCCTATCCATCGCAAATCCCTCACTGATTAACGACAGAATTGGTTTTTGGCATATCCCTCGCAAATCCCTCTCTGGTTAGCGACGGAATTGGTTTTTGGCCTATCTATTGCAAATCCTTCGCTGGTTAGCGACTGATTAGCCACGGACACGTGGCACCCGTCGCTAATTAGCAAGGGATTAACTTATTTTTCTTATTTTCTCATTTTTATCTGTTATATAGACACATGTGTATGTGTCATATATACATGTATATGTGTTATATGTATATATGATGTGTATATATTGGTTGCTAACCACGATTAGATCTATGTTTATAGTGTTGAAGATACATATATCGGATTATGTATATATGTTGTATATGTGTTTAAATGTATGTGTATATGTGAATGTATAAATAATGTGTGTTATATGTCCAAATGTGTATGTGTCATATGTATACATGTATGTGTAACATGTATATATATTCGTTAGCTCGTGTTATCATATGTATACACAATGGTTATATATGTGTGTTGGTTGCTAACCACGACTGGATCTATGTATATATTATTGAAGATATGTGTATCGGATGATGTATCTATGTTTAAATGTATGTGTATATGTGAATGTATAGATAATATGTGTGTGTTGTTTCGGCTTTATTGGGTTATATTGGGCTTTAATTAGTCTTAGTGAACTGTAATGGATCTATTGAGCTGCAATTCAATATTTTATTTTTTATTTTTTCATGTGTATGTGTTATTGTATACACGTGTATGTCTGATATGTATTCGTCGATCCGTATTATATAATATATATATATATATATATATGTAAATGATGTGTGTGTGCATGAGTTTGCTAACCGTATATATGTTTTTAATAATATATATGTATATGTGTTCTTATATGTTTTTATGCATGTATATAAATGTATAGATAATGTGTGTATCTTGTTTGGTAACCGCATATATATGATGCATGTGTTGTATATATGTATGTGTACATGTATATATGTTGTACGTGTATATGATATGTGTGTGTGCACGTGTGTGTGTATATATCATTGGGTTTTAATTTGTTCTAACGGGCGTTAATGGGTTATATTGGGTTTTAATTGATCTTAGTGAGTTGAGTTGTAATGGATCTTAGTGGGTTGCCATGCATCTATTAGACTTTTTTCAGTATCAATGGGTTTTAATGGATCTATTAGGCTTTATTTAATATCACTGAGTTTTAATGGATCTATTAGGTGTTATTCAATATTATTAGGCTTTAACGAGTTTTATTGAGCTTTCATCCGTTCTAACAGGTTTTAATGGACTATACTGGGTTTTAATGGTTCTCATTTGATGTATATTTAGAAAATTGATTATGTATATTCATAAAATTGATGTGTATATTTAGAAAAATTGATTATGTAAAAAATGATCATATGTAATTTTTTATTTTAAAAAAAACTAATTTTTTTGCGACGGTTTAGTGACGAAATATTTGTCACTAAATATACCCCTAACTAATCTATCGCTAAACAAAACCGTTGCTGACAGATTTCCGTCGCTAATCCGTCATAGAAAGTTTTCCATCGCTAATCCGTCGCAAAATACCGTCGTTGATCCGCGCCGAAAGCATTACCTACGAGCTTTTAACCAACAGACTATAAACAATCGATCAACGACAGAATAGGCCTTTAGCGACGGATGTATTTTCCAGTCGCTGATACTTCTCATTTTTGTGGTGTGAAGATGTTTCCACGCAGTCATGTTCTTCTACCATCATGCCTTTTCCATTGCTTTGTATTATTTTGGATTTTTCACTTGTGATCTTTGCCTTTTGCCTTTGGAACCACATTTTCTAGCAACTTTGTTAAAATTAGAAGCAACTAGAGACAGAGTCACTAACGCTTTGCATGGATAAACCATCAGCCCAACTGTCGCTAGTGACATCGTCACTGTGATCCTCATAATCTTTAAAATATGTGTCATAATTATTAGGAAGTGACACTGATCCAGACTTCTTGCAGTCGAAGAGACAAAAGCAACATTTGTGTTTTTTGGATCTTTGAAGACGTTTTTCCTAAGTAGTTGTTTAGTTTGCTCATGATTATACAAAATGTCGCTCAAAATTACATCATACTAATCAAGAAATAAGTTCTATAACATATCAAATTATGTCTTAATATTTTATGTATGGATTCTGATGTTTGGAGATGAATGCATTGAACTTTAATGACTTCTGGTTTGGTTTTCTTAACCTGTAATACAAGGGTATTTGGAGATCAATAAAAAAAAACAAATATAAGAGTAAAAAATGTTTTTTTCAAACAGTTTATTCAGCATAACAAACAAACAATAATTTTATTTAATATATTCATATAACTTTATATATAAATCCAACTGTATCTATACATGACTTAGGGGTTGTTGAGTCGCGGGTTAATGGGCTTATATAGGATATCTGACTTATTCGGTAAGCCATACAAGGTTGTTCGGTTGTGGCTTAATGATACAAATAACGACTTATTTGATCAGCTGGTAACCCATACAAAGTTGTACGGTTTTGTCACTTTTTCAATCTTCTTTTCTGATACAACTTGTGGGCTTCTTGTAGATTTCTTTTGATTTTTCGGGTTTTTGGTGTTGCTTCGAAGAAGAGAAGAAACATGTTTTTATTTATTTATTTGATTTTTATTTTTTAGGCTTCTAAGCCTGCAATTGGTTTTTCTGTTTTTTTGATTTTTTTTACAGAATCTGGGATTAAACTTAATGATGATGGGTGTTCCTTGTTAAGGAAGAAGGACCATTGTTATCTACATGTGGGTAAAATTGAAAAAGAAGAAGCAATCTTGACGAAATAAGTGTAAAGTTGTAATTTAGACAGTTTATTCAATACAATAATTGAACAACTAATCCATACGATCTCTACAGACATCTTTAATCCATACAACGCTTAATAAAAATAACAAACAAACAGCCTTTTAATGAAAAACAACGAAACAGCCCCTGAGTCATGATTGATGTCATGGTCCTAAGAAAAAATTGAGGATGACATTCAAACGGCCTATCGAAGTAGTATATAATTGAAAACAAACTCGTCGATACAAATGGATGAATCAGTTAATCAATTTGTTTAAAAAAAATTAAATAGACCAGATCAGGAAATTAATCAATTTGATTTAAAAAAATTATTTAATAATTAATCGGTAGGCTTTTGCAGAAACTTGTTAACAAAAACTAAATTATTAATTTAAAAAAATATAAATAAATATATTTATAAAAAGAAAACACGCCCAGTGGGACTCGAACCCACAATCGCCTGATTAGAAGTCAGACGCCTTATCCATTAGGCCATGGGCGCTTTTTTGTTTCATGTTATAACTCTCATACTTAAAATTACAAATTATGTAAATTTAATGCATTTATTTTTAAAAGTGACCTGTAATTGGTTGTCAATAGATTCCATAATCAAGAAATACTGATAGAGCTGTAAACGAACAATTCGTGAACCATTCGGCGGAAAGTTTGTTTATTTAATAAATGAACGAACATGAACAAAAGTCTCGTTCGTTCATTTATGTTCGTTTATATATTAAATTTAATATATAATCTTTTATTTATTTACTTTGAATTCAAATAATATTTATTTATGTTCGTTTAGCCCGTTTGTTTATGTTCGTTTAGCTCGTACGCTTATGTTCGTTCTTTTAGCATGTTAACGAACAAACATAAACGAACACGAACACAAAGATTTTCGTTCGTGTTTGTTCATTTGTTCGGTTAAGTTAAACGAACGAACATGAACAAGCCTCTGTGCGTGTTCGTTCGGTTCGTTTACAGCCCTAGAAATGCATCCACCAATTTGCTTTTAAAATGAAGTTTATATATTTTCAAATCACAAACCAACTTTTATACGTCTCGAAATTAAAGTTTAATTATTCGGAAATACATCTTTCCATTTTTCTGAAATTAAAACAGAAGAAAGATTAGTGTTCTTGTAGCACAACCCGAAATCATCTAAACTAAAGGAAATTTCTTTGAAACGAGCCCGAAGAAAACCTAGAAGTGAGTCCTTGTGCCATATTCTCGGCATCCAGTTTCACTTTTTGTCGTCCTGCCGTCAAATCTTTCTCTCGATCCCAAGGTTTCCATGGATGATCTCCCTCCCATTCTTGTTTCTGTTTTTCCTGCCCTTCTACTTTTGACTTCTTCTTCGACCGAACCCGACTTGCCTCTTGATGCTTTTCCACCAATGATTTTGACCTTTTCGCTTTGTTGTACTTGTCCACCATTTCCGCATCATCATTATTACTTGTTTTCTTCTCTAGGTCATCAGCAGCAAGTGCTGCAGCTACGTTATATGCCTCCAAGTAACTGCCAAGCGACACAAGATACAAATTTTACAAATCCCTATGCTAAACTATCGGTTCAAATTCATGAAGATGTTGTTGCATCGTATCAAACTATTCCCACGTGGTCACAAAAGCTATGTTTGGCTAATAAACTAATTACGTTCAATAAAAATGACATGTTAAAATTATTCAACTCTTAACATAAGAGCATGATTGACAATAAGTGACAAAAAAAACCTCCTAGAGCTTATCAAAAAGCTAGCTTATAAGCTAGTTTATGATTTTAGGAAAGGAGCTTTTTCAATAAACTAAAAAATAAGCCAGCTTATAGTTGCCAAACATGAAAGCCACACTGACTTGTATCCTTTATATAACTAGCAGTACTTGCATGGGAGTTTTCACTTCTGTAGTTCTACAGATACTAGCAAATGTGGCTTATAATAAACAAAGATACAAAAAAATGGTGCACTGAACCACAAGGGTGGTGCCTGATTGGTTTGAGCTTGGCTCCAAAGGTTAAAAGTACCAGGAGGTCCCAGGTTCAAATCCAAGTAGGAATAAAAATCCCCTTATGGCCACGGAGGTTCAAATGCGGTGACTCCGGGCTATCTGCAAAGCAGGTGGTCGCCCTGAGATTATTCGGCTCGCATAGTGGGTTGAATATCCAAGTTAATAAAAAAAAAAAAAAATCGTGCAACTGGTAATTGGGGTTTGTGACCCTGATAATCTCTTAACCGAGTTGAATAAAGTAAAGAAGGATATTTTAGGTATTATTCAGATATGGTGGAAGATTGTAGAGTGTAAAGTAAAGAGCTGACATACTTCATTTTTGCCTTCTGGGCTCTATCTGAAGGGGTATCAGTCCAAGCACTGGTATCACCCCGCCCTTCTCTCGAAGTTCTGCTAAAACTTTTTGTTGATTGCTGTGTTGCCACACCAGGCTAAGGAGAAAAGAGTCAAAAAAGCAGCAAACAGATTGACATCAGAAAAGGTATAATAAGAAACAATACTGAGAACTAGCTGTTTTCCCATGAAAAGTAGCCTAAAGCTACTACTTTCCTTCAGACCCAAGTTGCAGCCCAGAAAAAAAAAAGTTTTTCTTTTTTCACTTGAGTTGAATCGCAAAAAATCTCAAGAATCAAGATGTTTTAGTGCCACTTTCGACTTCATGATTAATCTTGTCCACATATTAGAACCAAAACCCTTGGGAGAGCTGGGTTCTAGTGTTCTACACAAGTACATGATGATATAGCAGATAAGGGTGTCCAATAGGGAGTTATCTGTAGAGTAGCACCTACCTAAAAACTAGTCAACGGGTCAATTTACAGCAGCCAGGTGGCATCCCCCCAGGCCCCCCACAGCTCCCATAAAGGAAACAAGATGATATTCTGTAATGACCTAGCCCCGGAAAACCGTTTTAAGAAATGGCAGGCATATCACACAAGATGAACAGCGAAAGCATCTAAATAAAGCCTTACTTTCCTTTCGGGAGGTAGTGTTGTCATCCATTCATCTCTTCTTCGTTCCTCTTTTACGTCCATGTCTGCTAAGAGTGCGTCATCACCCTCCATAGAAATACCTGCCAGAAAGAAACAGTTTTGTAATCTTATAATTGATGGAGATCAGCTACTCCAGTTATACTGAACTTTCAAACATTAAAAAGGACTGAAACTTCAAAACATGTAGTATTTCTGTAATAATTGAAATCAACACGTGAAATACTTGAGACTCCGTCTTCCCTAAGATCCAAGCCTACCATATGTACAGCATAATTAACACACGGAACTTTCAAGCTATACTTAAAGAGGCACGAATCCTTGGAAGTATTTCCTAAACATCCAACACCGACCCTTTTACTTCTGCAATTCAACTATTCAAGTATTCAGGTTGGGTGACATTGCTGGAGGTTATCAAGAGCAAAGGAGGTCCAGATACTTCTATCTTGATCACTGCAAGTCATATTTAGGTGGTGCCAGTTCCCAATGAATGGAAGTCTGAAACCAAGGCTACATTTGCAAAAAGTCATATTCCATCAGCAGCCGAGGACTGAGGTGGTCCTCCGGCGTATGTAAGAAATGGATCAAAACACTCGAACCGTCGCGTCTGTTGGGAACAGACACGACTCCTGCCAAAATAACCAACTTAACCGCTGGTGGCTATATAAGATTTGAATTCGATGAATGCAGCGTGACGATCTAAGTGCACACTGTTACTCTGCCGAATTTTTGTCTCTTAAGGTACATAAACAAGCAAGGAATTATGTGTTTGTGATCTTGGATTTTGCCTGAAATCCAGATCACTGTTCTTGGATTATCCCAAATCTGATTTCGTGATACCCCGGGCTATAGGGTCGAAATCACAGATTTTGGAAAGTGTTTTATACACGATCCTTGAATTATCCAAGTATTTTGATATTCTATTTCCAAACTCTAACAACATATCTTTTAGGTGGCATGGAGAACCTACCCCATATTCAACATATGGTGCGTTCCAACTTGTAACAAATTGGCATAAAGACTTCACCAAAATCATATTTAGATGTTACTTAAGTTGTATGTTCCAGGTGTGGGAGCCCTAATCTCAACACTCACAATACAAACAAAACCCCATATAAAAATATGTGGAGAAAAAAGCATATGTACGGAAGTAGCAAAACGAAGATGCAAACATGGAACATGAACACCAATCACATTGCCCATAGCAACAATTACATCCACAATAACACCAAAGTGCAAATGCAACTAGAAAAGAGTTGTCTTGCACAACAAAAAAAATTAAAAGCATAATGCAAGGATTGTCATTGGACATGAATGAGGACTACCAAGAAAAATTTAAAAAGGGGGCAGTTTCCGTTTATGTCAACGTTGTTGGCATAGTGTCTCAATTATTTAGTTTTTTGTGATTCAAGGTAACTGCAACTAAGCTATTTGTAAACATAAAATGATAAAATATAGCATGATCATGCCATTTAGTTTTTGGCGAGCAAGGCACACAGGATGGCAAGCTATGCTCATCAGCAGCACCTGAATTGCTGGCGAACCTTCTAATTATTTAAATCACATTTGTTTGTTTTTACACTTTCTTGGGTCTAGAACATATATATTCCATTAGACATTAAGATAATGATAAGCAAGTTCATTCAATAAATCATTTTACACAGTTGTGTCAGTGTCATGCAGGTAGGATGTGAGTCACATGATCATATCTAGTCCTTTACATTGCTCTAGAGTAGAGAGTGAGAAAAAAGAACTCACCTTGCAAACGCCTCCATTGTGCAGCTTCACGCATAGCTTTCAACTCCAACTACAAAAGGAAAGCAACAAAATTAGATTTCATAACAAAGAACTATTACTATTCTGCTAAAATCCAGGTAGACATGTACCTTAAATCTTTCCTTTTCCTCCTTCTCGTCAATTTTATCATCCATTGCTTTTCGCTAAAATAGAGAACGTGGTAAGAAAACTAAGATCGCTAACTCAACAAGCGTTCACAAGTATATAATATTCAGTGTCAACACATGAAGAAAGAACCAACGGTACCAGCCTCTGAAGAGCAACAAATTAGAAGAACCAAAAGGCAAACAAAAAAAGCAAAGTGTAATATGCTTGGATCTATAATATATCACAAAATTTTGTATCAGACTGTCAAACAAATGTCACTCAAAAATTAAGTGATGCATGTTTAACAAGCCACTCTTTAATAAATACAATCAATCGAGCAGAAGCAGGAGCCAGAAAACCAATACAAAATTATGATGATGTCATGCACCCATCTAGAGGCCCAAGCCCATTCCTTAGTAATATTCTAGAATAGTTAAAAGAGGGTATTTTGAGTACTCCTTAGAATAACTTTTAGTATAAATAGGGAGGATGCGAGGAGTGTGAGGAGGCAGAAAATTAGTGGGTTCTATTTGGGTCGAATGCTAGTTTGTTCTTTGTTTTCGTTGTTAATTGAAGCATTTGACAGTGTCCTTATCATTTGGTTTCCATTTCAATTGTGCAAACGATTCAGTTCATAACAGATGAACAATCTAAACAAAGAACTTATACCTCAAAAAGAAGTTCAAAAAACATGTGAATAGAAATCATCCTGGAAAAGAATTACACGATCCTAATAAACACGTGACACCCAAGCAGGGGCATTACGGCTTACACCCAAAGGAAAAAAAAGATGATAACTACACAAAAAATAAAGAAAGATCAGACTTAACCTCTTGTTGCAATTGTTCAATGATCATGCCTCATATAATAAACGAATTAAAACAAACCAAATGAGAGCATCTGTGTCTTGCTTAATATTGGTTCATGTCAATTCTTCCTCCGAATGCACGCATATACTAACAACCAAGTTAGGGTCTTTTGCTGAAAAGTATAAATCATCCACAAGGACATTGATCTAAATCCCAACAAAAGAAAGTTCTACTTCTTATGAAATAGTATTGTTATTGGTCATCCACCAAAACTTGACCCTAATTCATAGGAAAAGCAATTCTAAATGCAAGCATATATGTCAGGCAGGAGAATACAAACAGTTGAAAACAAAAATATGAATACTAAATTTTCAATTATTAGCCGCTGAGCTTTACTGACAATAACATACAGTCAATTAAGGAAGCTTTCTGCAACTCAAAATAAAAGCATATAAAAGCTTTTCAAGATATCATGGCAAGTGTTGACAGTGCATAATACAAACCTTGACAGGATCTTGTAAATCCTTGAAAGCTTTATTCAACTTAATGAATGCTTGATGGGCTTCTGGATGAGGGCATTTGTCAGGGTGAACCATAAGAGACAGCTTCCAATATCTGAAAGCACATAAATATAACAGGTAGTTAAACATATATTGAATAATATAATTGCTAGAAATCAGTGCAGGAACCATATATGTCGTTACTATCAATTGACTAATATATGCATATTATCTTAGAAGCATTATTCAAATTGCTAACAAGAGATGAGTTTATGCTCAGGGAGATCAATGAGCAGCATGCTTGCTGCAATAAGAACAAACCTATAAAATCAATTAGTGCAAAAAGGTAACCAATTATAGAGAAACAAACTAGAACATGTTATACAGAAAGTAAAGGTATCACTCAAGGCCATGACTACAACACAATACACATGAAGAGATGCATTTCATCAATATAAATTTCACCGTTTATCCTCAATGAGTATCGGACCTCTTAAGGAATCATGTAAATGAGTATGATGTAGTCATGTAGACCTAATCCTGTTCAACAAATTATGCCATCTAGTCATATTATCATAAGTCATTCAATTTGACTGTGGCCACAGAAACCAAAATTCATTTGTCCTTAACATTGCTTCAAGTGGCTACCAAACGAACTCTGGTAGAGATAGTTGTAAACCATCAAAGTAAGATGCATAACATAGATAATAAAAATCTAAAAGAGCAGTAAATTGTAAATACGGCTTGCCTTTTCTTAATGTTGTCAGCTTGCATATTCCTATTGACACCAACAATATCATATGGATTATCAATCTCTGCTCCCATAATTCTTGTGACCTGATCACATAAAAGTTACAAAGTTAATAAGCTAATGTCATATATATATACACATCAACATAAGTTATATACATATGGTCTAGAACATAAAACATGAACAAATTCATAATCCATCAATTCCATGATATGCAATAATTGAAACTTCCAGATATCCTATATTAATAGCAATTATTTCCTTTTTGGCAAAGTTTCAAGCTAAAGTTACTTATTCACTCATTTCCATCATTACCAATTATTTTTCGTCCACAAGATTCACCTGTTCAGTTATTATAGAAAGCTATCTAGACATCTGACTAATAGTCAAACACTTCAATCATACTATAAGTCAATTCATTTGTTGCAACTTTCACGGAACACGGGGGTATAAATTAATAAACAGAAGAACTCCTGCGAGAATAATACACCAGTCACTAAAATGCTTAAGGTCTCTTTCAGGCTAATGATTGCCTTAAATTTTAAAGGAAGAAGCAATACAGACCAATATGGTGTCTGATTCTCATACTTTCATGGCGCTTATCAAGAATTAACCATTTCGTCATCAAAATATTCAATACTTTCCTGTCAATGGTTGCATGCACAACATGTAAAGCACCAGAAAGTTTTTGAAAACCCCAGATCAAGACATACAAAAATGGAAGTACAACTTTGAGAAATATATAAAAAGTTAAGAGATTTAAAGGGAAGATGAAGTGAAAACCGGGATGCACAAAATTCTACTCATCATTTTCTGTTGAGTTAAAAACTCATCATTTCAATACAAAGGGTAGGTGGGGTTGATAGGTATGAAAGTTTATTAACAGATTGTTTTTGAGAGTTGAAACCTAGTGAAAAGTAGTTCTGAAAAACAACATTAAAAAGAAAAGTAAATGGAGACCTCCTCAAAACGCTCTGCATCATTGGCAGATGCAGCCTCATGGACCACAGCAGGAGGTGGAGGTCCAATAAATAGAACATCGTCTTCACCAACTTCAGCCTCCCTACATTTATATAAGATGTGTTAGAATAGCAGCACTGAAACTATATTTAAGAAAGTAATGTCAAGGAAAGAGATATATTCATCTGCCTCTATTTGTTCATGGATCAAGAAATGAGGAGGCATTGTATTAGATAACAGCTGTGACCACACAAAAGCTTCTGGACAAAGAAATTCCAATACCTTAACTCAGCCTCTGCTTCGGTTAATTTAGCTGCTGCAGCAAGCAATTCAGCAGATGGCATTGCAGGTCCAATAACCCTGAAAACTCAAAACAGATTTGCATGAACCAGAAGAATGAAAGTAACCACAAGATACTGATAAAGATAAACACAAAATACTTTCACAATCCTGTTGGCAAGAACTAATAGCACATTAGAAATCCTAATGAATACATTTCATTGTTGATTATTAATTCAGTTTCTCCCAAAAGCTTCTTCAATAAGCTTTAGAGAAACTAAACAGCTTGATCAGAACAGTAAACACTAACTACAAGGTAGATGTTATACTAATCCAAAGCTAAGAACCAAACGTTTTGCAGTACAGAAGGGTAATAGATCAATATAATTGCAGATAGTGCCATTTAAGCATAAATTCAAGATAAAATCACTTAAAATGATGACACTGAACTCATCAGAGGTTTCTTATGTTAATTTTTTTTGCACTAAGCTAATAACTCTAAACATATCTTCCTCTCTATCAACAAAAGTTTGTCTGCCTTACCTCTTGCTAGGAGCTGCAACATCTTCTTGTGCACATGGAAGCTTTGAGCCACCATCAGCAGGTACGTGTTCCTCATTTGGTTGTTCAGCTGATAAATCATTATGCTGATCATGATTATCAATAAGCGGACCTTGAGTTTCCAGTTTAGGGCGTATAACAGCTCCAACAACCTCGAGAGTTGGACGAACATCAGAAGGCAACAGAAAGACTAAACGACCATTTTCATTGAGGCTCAAGGACAAGAATAGCTTTCGCAAATACTGTACTAAGGACTTCTCAGATAGACCAGATATATCAACGGCTTGTCCATCATCAATCATGCGCAGAAGCTGCGGAAAATCAACGGTTCAGTAAATTTGCCAAAACCTATTCATTTTTTTTAATAATATACATTATTGAATATATTACCATGAAAAAAACCAATAAATCAAAATAAGAACATGGATAGCCGGTTGACCACTTTATAATCCCTGAGAAGGCTTTATGTTTGTGTAGTCCAGTGTCGGATAATATGGGAGCATTCATACAGACTGTCATTTCTCTTTGACTGAGCTCACAGCATATCGTCCACAGCTTAACATTAAGAGTATCCAATATTGTATTTAACATCAATTTACTCACTACTAGGAAGAAGATACAACATTCATAAGAATGCTTGAAACATTCAAGCATGTTGCAGAGTTCTAATATTCAAGCATCAAGCATGTTGCAGACTGACACTAATTGTATTCCTATGTATGATGAAACAGAAAACTTAAAGAGGTACACAACGGACATGTGGATCTACACCCGCTTGATACAATTTATAGTTGGTTTTCTGATGACAAAAAATAGCTTTCGGATGATTTCTTGAAAACAAGTCACATCTCCATTTTTTCCAATGACACCCACTTGATACATTTCTTGAAACCTGTTAAAGATGGTTTCTTAAAATAATTCATGTTTCTTTTTTTTACCGTAACTTACTCATCAATGAGAAAATAGGTATCATCAGTCAACAATATTTTTATTCTTCCCTTTAGAGTACATTGATACATGGTCTTACAAAAAGCCAGAGGCGTACGCCATGAGGCGCGCCTCAGGGCGGTTTGGTCCAAAAACGAACATGAGACGCCGCCTCAAGATATCCAGTAGGGACGTGCGCCTTGGTGGTGTGAGGCGGGCGTTGGGGGGGTGAGGCAGGCGTTGAAGCGGTAGCGGTACCAAGGCGTGAGTTTTCTTCCCCGATAGAAAATCTCACCCTTTTTTATTTAAGGAAATAACTAATAATTAAAAAACCGTAATATTATAAGGAAGCTCATTGGCCTCTTTTCTATGTAGCCCAATTTCTTTTCTTTTGCCAATAAATTAAACATAGAACTTCTCCCAAAAGTCAACCGATCAACAAAGCAATGCTTTATACTATTGTCGACTTCTTCTCCTCTCTGGCTCTCTCTTCTGTATTACTTCTTGTCTCTCCAATGGCTTGTACGGTTGTAACTGCTAGTTCTAGGCTTGTACCTTCACTACTTGTAAGCAATTTCTCTTTTCTTCTGTAAGCATATTTCAGTTTCTGCATATTTTTATATAGTATCAATATTTATATGTTCTGTAAGAATCTGCATGTTCTTTTATGTGTTAAGCTTTTTTTGTATAATCTTTGATATATATATATATATATATATATATATATTCTGATTTATGTACGTATTCTGTTTTTATGTATACGGTATATTTTTATGTTCATATTTTGTTTTTGTTATGTATATATGCTGTTTTTATGTACATATCCTGTTTTTATGTACAATTTGGTTTAATGTATAGTATATAATATGTCCTTTTATGTGTTATGGATTTATGAATTTTCTTGGGCTTACGCCTCACGTACCTAAGGGAAAAATGCCTCGAGGCTTGTTTCTGTTCTTTAAAACCTTGCATTGATATACACTAGAAGTTAAGAAGTATAGCCTCCATTCCAAAAAACGCAATACTTGACTTGGCACATAGCTCATTAGAAGTTTTTGACAAATGATCAAATGCTAAAGATACCCCTTAAGAAGACAAACTTAAGGAAACTTGTGGATGACAATCATTCTCACCAATATCTTTTCACAATTGCTAATTGACATATAGGTACAAGGTACATCTGCAAAAGGTTCTTTACCACCAAAAAGTTGCTCATTTTTGGGACAACCAAAAATAGGAAGTGTTGCATTTTTTGGGACAAATGGGTTATAATTAGAAGGCATTATAGCATAACAAAATTTAGTTATGACAGAATATAGAACCTTTAGATGAATCTGTGTCATAGCCACAAGATAAACAAGTAAAAGATTTCCTTGCACACCAAACCATACATGAAAATAAAAAAATCTTCTCTCCAGAAAATTGTTGTTATAGTTCAAGATTGTCATTGTTCTGATTATCTAGATGCAGTAAGAGGATGTTTTGGAGGTAATATCAAATGGATCTAAATTTTATAGAACATGTTCAATTGAAGAAGCCCACTGCTAAAGACCAACTTGGAAAGATGATTCCTCATCCAAATTGCCTTCTTAGAGTTTCCTATATCACAACCAACCTCTTAATCACCCTCTGTCGTTTGCTACAAATCAATTATGACATCCAAGCCTCACTTGATTTCAGTATCCGGACACTAAATAAGATCTAAACCATCTCGGCATTCATATAAAAGTTATGGGTCAGATAGCCAAAAAAGCAACACTTCAAATCTTCAATGCCAATACTAAACCGGGATCACCAAATCATTAAGAAGTCAAGCATATTTCTCCTACATGCTACAAAATTCATAGTCAAAGACCCTGTTTGCATATTATTCAACAATGTTTGAGGAGGCAACAAGTTTACCAATAGGGGCTTTCTTGCTAGAACTGTACTGTAAATTAATTCAACAAAGAGAGTACCACTCAGCAGTACAACCTTCTACAACCAATTGTATTCTCTAATTTACATGAATTCCATTTAGTTATAGCAGAAATTGAAAATTATGTACTCCTGGTTTTATTCACCGAGCTACTTGTCAATTTCTGATGTTAGATCTGATACTTCCCAAATGCAAAACTGTTTTGGGTGTTGTTATATGATAAATACCAATAACAAATATATTTGTAATACTTGTCATAAAGTTTATTGTAAAATCCATGTCCGTTTTGGAATTAGAAAGCAACCCATTTGAAGTTCAGTAACATGCAACTCTTATTAGGAGAAGAGGGATTAAACATAACAGCATCACCTTGTACAATGGCTAACATCATTCCAGATTGTTAGCGGAAATCCTATAAAATACCAAAAAACGTATTTCCTTGACCTAGATTCAGTATTTCCGTTAGTAACACAAAAAGAATGCAAACATACAGTCACGAATAGGGATAGCACCTGTTCCAAATCATCAGCTACAGCAGGGAACTCTTTCAATATATACTTCACCACGTCTACAGGATCACTCCTAGGCAAATTACTATCACCATCAGAAAATCCATATCCCTTCTCCTCCGACTCCGTATCTGAATCCGAAACCTTCCTTTTACCCTCTCGATTTGATCTCCGTCTACTGCTCCCTTTCTTTCTATCTTTATCACTTCTCTCTCTTTTCTTTTTCTTCCGCCTCTCTCTCCTCTTCTCTTTCTCCCTCCTTGAACTCCCTCTTTCGCTGCTCCGCCGATGCCTCCGTCTGCTTTTGTGCCGCCTCGAGGAAGATTCGTCATCGCTTTCAGAAGAAGAATTTGGAGAAGATGACGATGACGGGGATGAAGATGAGACGGAGTCTTCCAAGTATCTCTTCTTCTTCTTCTTATCCGTTTTATTGGAATTTTCCCCCATTTGTTGGTTTAGAAACCTCTGGTCTGATTTCCAGGCAGAGAAATTGACGGCCGACTTCGGAGCAGATGTTTATACTTTCACTAAATTACTGTACGCCCCTTCAAGATCTTGTATTTTGAAAACTACCCCCTTTAAGTTTTAGTGGGGTAGTCCAACTTACCATAAACCAGTTTTCCTTTTTTGGTTTTGACTTTTTGATGGTCAAATGAGTTCATGTTTTGACTTCAAACATAAATAAATAAATTAGATTATATATTATTGAAGAAGACGAAGGATCATGTAAGAATAGAAGTTGAGCTGAGAAGCGTGTAAAGGGATCTGGACCATTGGTTGCTGTAAATTTCTCCTAGAGATGGTAAAAAAAAAAACGAAACTGATGGTGAAAACCGAAAACCAAAACTTTTGGATCGGGTTCGGAGACATCTTATCGGGGACGGGATGGGGATCGGGACATATTCGGGGACGGAGACGGGGGCAGGGGCGGTGATCACCAGCCCGGCCTGGCTCGATATGTGTATATATTTATTTTAATTTATATACATGCATACATACATCATTATAAGAATATACCAACATTAAAATTTAAAATATTTTTATCCACTTTAGTTCAACACTCCAAATAAGGCTAACGAAAAAAATCTAGTTTATTATCATGAAATCGTGATGTTAGTTGTATAATGTTTGAATTTTTGTTTACTTTTACAATGTAATATAAGATGTTGTTTGTAATTGGTTTGATTATGTTTGAGATATTTAGATTTACATCTTTAGAAAAATTGTAATTTACTTTTAGTTAGGAAAATTAACATATTGTAATTAATTTCATATTGGTTCGGGTTTCGGGTTCGGATATAACCAACGGCGAACAGGGAAACCAACGGGAAGAGGAGGATTTTTACCCTTAACAGGTTCCCCAACGGGGATCGGTGAAACCGTGGGGATCCCCGATAAGATCCTCGACGGGGATCGGGACGGTTTTAGTTATCGGATTCGGGAACATGGATACCAATAACTGGCCCAAACCCAGCCCGTTGCCATTCCTAATCTCACCCCATCCCATGAATCACGCTTGATAAGAGTATTGATCGGATGCATTTCCATGCATCTCATTAGTGTTGATCTTTCATTAGGATTGATCCAATGATGAAGATCTCTTATTACCCTTCTTTTTGAATGAATTTATACAAAAGTTATTGTTTATGTCTAGTTTTTGTGATTGTATGTAGATAGTGATTATGATCTTGTATGTTGCATGTTCATCGTTAATGGATTTTTTTTCCTTCTAGAATTATGACTGTGTTCTTGAAATTAAGGGATCTCTTAAATATCTGTTATGGGTCTATGAATGAAGAATCCTACATTTCTTTTCCAAAAAACATCTGGTTGGTGATGGTGATGGTGATGGTGTATATACATATATCATATTGTTATTTATTTATTTTTAACGGAACAAAGACAAAAAAATGGATACAAAGACCAAACTACCCCTGAGTTGACGGAAGTTATTAAACGGAGTTAGTGACAGGGACCTATGGTGTTACAAAATATGGAACATAGAGACAGGGGTGCATACAAGCTTTCGGGGTAGGG